AGAGAGAGAGAGAGAGAGAGAGAGAGAGAGAGAGAGAGAGAGAGAGAGAGAGAGAGGTTGGCGAGGGTGTAACTAGCAGAGGAAACAATTGGGATCGGGAAAAGAAAGAAGGGGAGAGGGAGTGCAGAGTAGAGAAGGGAGAGGAGACTCCCAAAGACTGTAGGCATCCCGTGGGGATGGAGCTGCTGTACACAGCAGTACACACCTTGAGACCTTGGGCGAGGGATCTGTCGCCTGAGGAGTGGGCCTTCACCCACTTTGACGCGATGACGTCGTTGCCAAGCTCATCCTTGGCGGTCACTCCACCACCTGCACCTCCGGACCTTCACAAATGTGGAAAGTGAACACACACACACACACACACACACACACACACACACACACACACACACACACACAGAGACACACACACACACACACGCACACGCACACACATGCACACACACACACACACGCACTCACACACGCACACACAGGCACAGTGGTCAATCTCAGTGAAAGTCCCACAAGACACTCTGGTACAGTCATGCTTTTTTTTCCGTGGAGTTCTGCATAGCGAACATGACAATAGACAAAGCGGTCAATCAATGATGTAAGGCCCAAACGAATTTGTCCCGAATCCTGTTAAACTATCAGGCGAAATGGCACCCCCGGTGCATTCCACCCAACCTGCCAGCATGCAAGGCGCATTTCTGCAAAATGGGTGGGAAACGTACTGGTGGTTTAAATAAAACAATGTTATAACACAATGTTGCTAATCAATCAATGATAGAGATGACGCAATGATTTAGAAGGAAAAATCTGGTTTACCAACTACGCACAGGAAAGACAACGAAGCAAAGCCAACTGCACTTAATACAACTAAGGGCATACTAACACTAGGACTTCTCCAAAGGAACTCCGGACGTAATTGCGGTCAGATACGTCCAGGAAAGGCCTTAATTGCCATCAGATACATCCAGGACAGACCTTAATTGTGGTCAGATACGTTTAGAAATGTCGTATTGTGAGGATGCCCTATAAGAGAGGCTGTGAGGATGGGCTACTATATCGTTGCCGGACACACAGGCTTTTCTTTCCTTCAGGACACATCAATTCTTCCGGTTCTTCTTTTTTTTTTATTCGCTCGCATTGGCACTACAGCAAGTGTTCTATTCAGGATCGGCGTGGTCTGACTTTGTGCACCTTTTCTATGTGTACTGGTCTGAATGTATCTTATAAGTATCACATAGACTACCACACAGCCCGTAGCGCTGAGTACCAGACTGAGTACTACCCTGAGTACCAGCCCCGTCCTGAGTACCACACCGAGTACCAGCCCCATCCTGAGTACCACATCAAGTACCCGCCCGAGTACCCCACCCACACCGAGTAACAAACCAAGTATGACACTGAGAACCACCTTGAGTACCACATCAATTACCACCTTGAGTACGAGCCTGAGAACCCTGATTACCACCCTGAGTTCCCCTGAGTACCAGTCTAAGTACCAGTCTGAGTATCAACCTGCAAATCCTGAATTCCAACCTGAGTTCTCATGAGTGCAACACGAGTGTCCTGAGTACCGAGAACCATGAGTACCACACTGAGATCTCTCGAGTACCAGTCTAAACATCAGTTCAAGGACTAACGCGAGAATCCTGAGTTCCAACCTGAGTTCCCCTGAGTACCAACCTGAGAATCCTGAGTACCAACCTGAGAATCCTGAGTACCAACCTGAGACTCTTGAGTACCAACCTGAGAACCCTGAGTACAACCCTCACTTCCCCTGCGTACCAGTCTAAGTACCGGTCTGAGTACCACAACTCCGACGGCTGGCTGTGACACGTGATTGACGTTATGTCGCACACAAATCCGATGCCTGCCACTCCTGATCGGCGTTGTGTTGCACAAAAGTCCACACGACTCCAGGGACCTGCTTTGTGGGTTGGTGATGTGCTCTTTTTCGCCGTTAGGAGCTCCACTCTTTCAAATTCCGTCGAATCGGATTTGATCTCTGTGAACAGGCATGCAGTGACCATTCCACGTCGCCTTATCACAATAACTACTAGTTAAATCCGTGCGGTGGACTTAGAAAACGCATCAAACACTCCTGGACGAAAACGCATCAAACACTCCTGGACGCAAGTCCAACATAGTAGAACTTCTCATGCACGACCCGAGTAAAACTCAGGACGAGAGACCCAAACCCAGATAGATAGATAGATAGATAGATAGATAGATAGATATAGATAGAGATAGAGAGATAGAGATAGAGATAGATAGATAGAT